GGATTTTTGCGACCCCCCCTCTGGAGGGGTCCAGTTGCGACCCCCACCAATACACAGTTGCGACCCCCCAATACAACCCAGCCATTCCCCCACCGCGACCTCTCCCTCTTCTATAGTATTTGATTCTGAGACCAGTTGACACAGCCCAAAACCTACCTAAAACTCCGAAACTCCGCCTACTTTTCCCCAAAAATAGCCGTCGAGCGGGGGGGGGGATATACAACCACTGAAACGGCAACTTTTTTGCTTTTTTTCACACACACCTCTGCCCTGCCTGATGACCAAAGCGCGCGCAATGCGACCCCCTTTTCCCTCCCAGAGCCCAAATGCGACCCCCTTTTCCCTCCCAGAGCCCAAATGCGACCCCCCGTTCAAACTGTTCGAACGGACGGTTGACCCTTCGTGGCAGGACCATGGAAGAAAGTTCAAGTAGTCCGTAAACCATGTCTACCGTGTGATCTCGCGATGATGCAATGGTCGTACTTGTCTGCTCCATTGGAGCGGCAAGGCCTGCTGTAATTCGAAGAATCCGAGTGTCGTGTAGATACACACGACTTACTATGGTCGCGGTCCAAGCAAGACATTTATCGTTCGCTTGTTTCTGAACACGTTAGCAAGTTAGGTAGCCTAGGAGAGTTTGTAGTTCAATCGCTGCACCTTAATTTGCCGCTCGAAGGCAGGAAGAAATGGTCGCGGATTTGCTATTTACAGCACTGACGTTTTTCTTTCCTGTCAGAGAAATTTAGGAAGTTGTGGGTTCTTTTCAATATAAAATTACTTGTGCGATCAGCAAAAGTAATCATTGGCTTAATAATGTGGCCATTTCTAGTACGCTTTTGAAATATGCTTCAATTATGAGCGAAGTCCCAATAATGTAAAAATTCTTCGGGGTACAATCCCCTAATAGCTGTGATGTGAAGAGCTTTTGTGATTTTTGGCTGTATGCTGCCCTTTTTTTTAGGAAATGGGACAAAGACTTCTGTAAAATTTGGCTTTTCCTCTTATGGGATAATTTTTTTAGCTTTGGCAGATTTTCACTCTGCATACCTTAAAAATTCGTATTTTTCTCACGAATAGTTTTTTTAGAAGAAAAAAAAACAGTTTGGTGGAACGAGTTTTCGTTCATCTCCCGAGGGAACGACATTATACGGCACTGAATTGAAAGCCTAAAATCGATTGGGATAAGCGCGTTGACGAATGGCTCTGAGTTCTCACCAGGAAAGGTCATCAGGCCGGTCCGGCCATTTGTGAATGAGTTCTATACACTCGCCTCGAGACGCTGAGCTCAAAACTGTCTTCCCGATCTGCTAAACGATTTTTTGAACGGAGTTATAAAGCAAGGAAGCGCAGCGGTAGTGCCCTGTCTCGCAGGCAAGAGGTTGTGGGAACTGCTCGCAAACTCTTCATACAGCCAACTAATCGGGTGTGGGTACTTAGGACAGAACGCGACTTTTTCGCTCTTCGCAACGCGACATCGCGCGGCAGGCTGGCGCACCCGTAGCGAAAACAACTACGGTATATAAGAACGCGCGATTGGAGCGCGATATTTGTGTCGGCTTTGATTGCGACAAGGAGTTTGAAGCTTAATAGCCATGGATTTGATAATGAACGAGGAAATGGTAACCAGAAGTGGACCGCTAACTAGCAGTGAAGAGGGAGGTAGGTTATTTTTGCAGAGATGGATGGTAGAGCTTCTGGAGAACCTGGAAGAGGAATGGTTGATGGACGTTTGATGAGACGACTGTAAACTTCTGCATAGGGTTATTTGGGGCCCTGATCATGAATATGACACTCATTTTTCACATTCGTGCTGTTTAACGCATACTTTCTGCTTTACTAAGCTTTCTCACCTACAGCGCCTACGACTAAGCATAGGGGAGGGGAGTGAAACTCCGGAGTGGGTAAACCACGCACCGTGTGGCAAAAGTTGGAGTGTGTCACACCACAGGGGAATAGCAAAAGTTACCCCACGCAATTATGGACATGCTGCGCCACCTCTGCCTAAAATGGCGCCGGCGTCCAAAATGAGTATCATTATCCGTAATGAGGACAGAAGCGTTTCGTAAAAGATGTTATACCCTTATGCAGAAGTCTATACAACAATATGAACCCACAAAATGCAAGCACAAGCGGCCCTATTAAACCCTCGTTCACCGATAATTCGTAAAACACCATTTTAGTGGTATCGCCCGGAATCTTGTAAGTCACAAAACGTTTTCAATAATGAGACAGAATTAGTGATTCACCGCATTTATCAATACAATGGGTGTGAGCGCGGGCAAGTAAGGAATCAGAAACTTACAAATTCACGCATGCAAAAAAGCTGCTCCAATCGCGCGTTCTTATATACCGTAGTTGTTTTCGCTACGGGTGCGCCAGCCTGCCGCGCGATGTCGCGTTGCGAAGAGCGAAAAAGTCGCGTTCTGTCCTAAGTACCCACACCCCCAATGGCAAGTGATGAATCAACGAATTTAGCTTTTCTAACGCACTGACACTGAGAAACAAAAAAGCAGGCTTTCTCGAAAAACCGTTCCCACCACCTCTTGCCTGCGAAACCAGGGCACTACCGCTGCGCTTTCTTGCTTTATAACTCCGTTCATAGAACCGTTTAGCAGATAGTGAAGGCAGCTTTAAGTTCATTGTCTTGAGGCGAGTACAATGGTGCACAGCTCATTGCTAATGTCCGGACCGACTTGATGACTTTCCCGGTCAGTCAAATAGTCACTTTTTCCAACTATGAATGTTGAAAAAATGGCATGATACAATCTGTACTGCAGCGTAGCGTTCGCCTTTGTTTTAACTTGACCTTTCATGTGAACCACGCTCTGCATCACAAAACAGTACTGGGTTTTCACTGGCAAACCCCGTGCCAAGTGTGATACAGGCGCTTATTAATGTATCTGTGCTTTTGCTGCTCGATTTCCTGCGTCAAAATTGATGAATGATACAGAACTTACTTTTTTCTAGCTTGTCGAGCTTTTTTTTGCAGTTCCATATGTTTGATAAGGTCATTACCATGGAATCCCTAGTTAGGTCTATTCCAGTTAGGGTAGCATCGTGGTGCAGTTTTTCCAGAAACCTAGGAAACTCCGAGCCAGGAGAGTGTGGCCAGTCCAGGGGAGGGGGATGAAGGCAGTCACTTGACATGCCGTGAAAATTTGGAATGTCCGTGTTCACACTATCGCCGAGAATCTGCACCATGATGCCTCCCCCCTAACTGGAATAGACCCTCCTAGTCAACTAGGGGAATGGGTTCTGATTGTGCCGCGTTTATTGAATAGGTTGGCAGAAATTTCATATCAAACAGTAACAACGATATCCACACAACACAATTACCATACATTTCAAATTAGGATAACAATTTTTTTTCAATCCTGTCACAGGGCCGGAGGTACCCCCACCCCTCCAGAGGCCCATCGCGCGGCAAGAAGGCAGAGTCGTCGGACGAGTTGCAGCGCGTGGTGTGCGATGTAGGACGTGCAATGGGACACTCTTTTAACTTGACGCGAAATCCCTATAGTGCGCGCGACTCGTCCGCTGACTTTGCCTTTACCGCGCGACGGGCCTCCTGGGGGGTACCCTAGGGCCGGCAGTAGACAAATGAGTTGTAAGAGCTCGTCTAGTTGTTCCGTGTAAATTAACCAATAATTCTTAGAGGAGTGCTCTGTTTTGAAACGTCAGTCGGCCGATTCAGTTGGAACAGAATACATTATTAGAAGTTCTTGCCGTCGGGGAAATCGATCGAAATCGCAAATTCGATGTTTCATTTGGAATGCTGATGGCTGCATACATCTCTGTGCTTTTCATTTTCATTTTGTTTCAATACGCTGAAAAAATTCCTTGTGAAGCCACGATTTCGTTCGATAACTTTCAGCAGGATCGTAACGCTTTGCAAGATCAATGTTGGAGCGTTATTCCTGTTTTGATAGCAATCTATTTATGTCAATTCGTCCGAGAGTCACTACGGATAGCGATCGTCAGCCGTTTTATCTATCACATCTATCGGCTTTACGTATCTGTCAATTCGATAGCAGGGGAACGCGACTAAAGTGTTGTACTTATGTGTTGGGCCGTACTATAAAGAGTGCAGAACTATAAAGTAACATGGTTTTGGTAACAGATATAAGGTCGGAGGCTCAAATCGTGTTCACACGAACAATGATTTTTAGAGATTTTAGGTGGTCACATCTAATTCCGGAGTGTACCAAGTGATTTACCTTTTATAATAGTTATACGTCGGTATGTATGTAATCCTGTGTACTAAACATTACTGGAGACATTGGGGCTGCTCTCTGTAAGGTTTTGTAATCAAATGGAATGCTAAGCAGGTCTCAGCAAGCCAGCAAATTTAGCAAATTTCCATAAACCGGTACGGAAACTTTTAAGAGGTTGCCGCTTAGTTCTAAAGTCACGGGTCTTTAGGCTATCATTAGTGCGTTTAGGCCGGTGTCAGACTTTACGAATCCAACAACTAGCTAATAGCGACTTCACGGACTCACTACTAGTGAGTCGTTGATTGCTAATACTGCCACCGGCCTTACGCGTTATGCAATTCCTGCTGTAGAAACAGTAGGTAGCTTTCATGGAAGTGTCATGATTTTCATTTTTTTTTAAATTCGGATTGGCAGAGAAGGAGAGCCTTTATTGAAATATTAGGTTCAATATCTATCCATCAATTTCATTCATAGGCCTTGTTTTTCTGACGGTTTTCTTTTTTTGTATGAAATCGCTTTTTTATCAATAGAAGTTGTTAATGGTGCCGTTTCTCAAATTAATTGTTATAATTGATTTTACAGCCAACAGCTGACCGCAGCGACGAGAATGCTGACTCAGCCGCTTCATCGGACCAGGTCAGGCAAAATTTCTTAGCTGTTTTAATGCCATGATTTTTTTAATGAATTGCAAATTTTAGTTGCCATGGGTGCAATATAACCAATATTATTTTTATTGCTTTTTGTGTCGTTTAGGAAGACAATGATAAGGGGACTCGTTTGACATTGATGGAGCAGATTCTATTGTTAGGATTGAAGGACAGAGAGGTATTTTTGAATTTTTGTACATTTTTTCGCTCAAGTTTGTACGTCGTTTTGTTCACTAGATGGGTCTCCCGGCAACCACTGTGACCGCCCTCTATTACGTGAGCTTTACGCCTTCAACTGTGCTCCCTTCCGCTTGCGACACTAACTCCTATGAGATGACGCGTATGCGCACAAGCAGGTGTTTTGTAAAGTAGAGGGCATAATCACAATCATAACATAGCGTTATAATCAAATCTCAATAGTCAGGTGTTCCTCAGGTTTATTGGGGATTGGTTTTCCTCCTTTCCTTCCTTACCCTTTCCTTCTACCTCCACAAACCTCCACTGCAGCATCATGTGGAATGGTCGAGAGTATGATTACTAGGTGTTTATATAGCCGTTGGGGTGTTATCACAATCATGCCATTGCAAAACATTGATAGCTCAAGTCCTGCGAGCTACCCGATTTTGTTAGCGGTTTGTTTATTCCCATGAGCTTCTTCATCACTTCATCTTTGCGCACAGACAGACATACTTACATACATAAACGCAGACACAAATACATGCAAACCGACACACCATGCTAGCGGTCCATCGAACCAAAGAATGATGGCTTCTATAGCTGTGCTTACTGTGAACTGATGGGTAAATCTGCGAAATGCCTTGATTTTCCGTTGTCAGGAGGTCTTCCGCCTAAACACTGTGTTTGTTATACGAAGCGGCAAGCTATAATAGTACCATTTTGGAGTGACGAGAGTATATCTTCATCCTTTTTTGGATGCGGGAGATATGATTCTTGCGCAGGTGAGCCGGGGGGGGGGAAGTGGTGTGCCCAGTGGCATGGGGTGCATCTTACCACGCATGCGGTTGGGAATCGAAATGGGTCGTGCGTCGTCGGCCACCGGAGCCTTCCTTCCCTCCGTTTTGGTTAGTTAGTACCGGGCTCGCCTTAAAAGAAACACTTCAACTTGTACATCGGCTGGCCCCCGCAAGTCATTGTATAGGCCACATCGCATTCAAATGCCACTACGAATGTACAAATGGAAGTAGAATGCGTGCCGCATCCCAAAAGGGAATTGGTCAACGGTAAATGTTTTTTGCCTTGAGCGCGTTTGTCTAGAGTCACGACAAGCTTTCTATTTAATCATTTCATAGGAGAAACATTTTACCTGCTTGTGCGCTCTCTCTGCGAGTGAGCGTCCCAAGCAGTGTCCCGGAGCGCTTCATATGAAGTGCTTCAAGAGAGCGCAGAAGAACACAGGTCGCACTGAGTGCCAAATTTTCTGCGAAAATTGAATGTTACTTCTTCCAAATGCTGGTAATAAAAAATGTTTGTCATCTTGTTTGGTTTCCCTTCCCAAGGTTTGAGACCCGTTTTATTTCATGATATTTTTTAGAGCTAACGTAATCCATCATGGTGAACCAGTATAGGCCGTAGGCAAGGCGGGGATGGATGATCGCCGAGATCAGGGGAAACCATCTTGCCAAAATCTTGTGTTTTGTCCGGGAAACATTCGGCGCGAAGGGTGCCGTTAAGTGGAGGTCGTAGGCAAAGTGGGTGCTACCGACTTTCTAATACCTTTTTCTCTCCAGGAATTGGAGTCTTCCTCCGGCTTATTGGGATTACATGACTTGCACTAGTAAATTGGGGAAGAGCCTCTTGTGGATCTAGACCCTTTGCCGGAGGAGTATTTGTGGCGGTAATTAGACCTTCGCGGCCCAGGGGTCAGAGCCTCAGTATCAGCAAGCAGAGGGGAGTAGGCTTCGTTGTGAGGAAGGTACAGCTCCTGAAAAGGATGATCCCAGACCACCGACTGACTGCGGATATGAGTCGTTTCTGGTGGTTCACCTCACGGCCCGGTATCTGCACCTCACCCGCCAGGATCGTGACATCTAATTGTGGTGTTTGTTTGCTGACAAACTGAAATTTTTAATACTACTTCAATCTCGCTCTCTACCATACACTTGGTTGTGGTTTCTTATGATCCGACCCTGCTACAAATTCCCATAATCAAACTTTTGAAGTTTTTGATGACAGATGGATTCAGAACCTTTAATAGTCGTGTAATCGTGCAAATAGGATTTAGGCGGGGACGTTGTTACCGTACTGTTGGGATAATGAGGCACTGTTGAGAAATGACAACGCGTAATCCTTCAAAAACCGTTAGAACAATGAGAACCTAATAATTTCTTCCCGTATCCTGCAGGGTTTTTTTCTTGAAAGTAAGCTTTGATTCAAGTCACACAAAGGAAAACATGCATCCTAGTCTTAATCTATGGCGCGCGGCAGGCTTCGCCTCTCACCTAGCCATTTTCAGGGTTACACTTCGTTTTGGAATGATTGTATTTCATCCGGTCTTCGAGGATGCGTCCTGATCGAGTTGGCCCTTCGTGGCAGAATTCAGTTAGAAGGCAGTGGAATGCGTAAAAAGTCCTTGCTGACCAGAAAAGTGAGTGGTAATTGCCAGCGTTCGTGCGTTCATATTTATAAAATTGGTACCGGTACTGATTTCCATTGACATTATTTTCGTGGTTTCGTTTCTGATGCAGTTATTTCCTAGGTGACTGTGAAAAACAGCGAACCGACGGGTGATGTTATTCTAGACGAGGCTTTGAGGCATATGAAGGAGACGAATCCCCCAGAGACCGTGACTAGTTGGATAGAGTATCTCAGTGGAGAGGTATGCTCTTGTCATAAGCAAAAAATGATCGAACAGATATTCAAGAAAGTTCTTTCAGACGTGGAATCCTCTCAAGCTGAGATATCAACTTCGCAACGTTCGTGAAAGGCTAGCGAAAAACTTAGTAGAGAAAGGTGTTCTTACAACTGATAAGCAGAATTTTCTGCTATTCGAAATCACTACTCATCCTCTCTCCGATGGGAATCAGAAAACGAAGCTCATAAAGGTTACCGATGAAACTACTCTGATTTCAGGCTTAGTGTCGCACGGCACTATGGAAGATGACGCGAATTTGGTCCGCGGAATAAAATCAAGGGAATCTTTTCAGGAAGTTCAAGAAGCTGTGCTGAGTAAATGGACAAATGATGTTCATCGAATGGACAAGAAAATGCTGTCGCTAGTCATACTTGCCCATGCTTCGGATGTTCTCGAGAATGCATTTGCCCCACTGAGTGATCAAGACTACGAGGTGAGTTCGTTTTATCTTGTTGATATTATGAATGGTCAGTCTAGGGAACGTTTCCAATGTGTTTCTGGTTATTTTTGGCAAAGTTATTTTCAAAACTTGAAATTTTGGAAGTTTTGGTCCATCACTTGGAATGAAGCAGGGAAAACCTTTACCTGCTTCATTCCAAGTGATGAACCTCATTCGTCATTCACCAAAACATCAAATTGCGAGGGTAAGACTTCCATGCTATGTTTATGTCTTCCTATTATAGGTTGCCATGAAAAGGGTTCGATCATTGCTGGAATTAGAATACGACGCACAGGCCGAAAAGAAAGGAAACGAAGTGATGTGGGCCGTGTTTGAGGCGTTCAGCAAGTAGTTTGCATTCTTCTGGTAAGAATTTCTACTCGATTTTGCCATACTGTTGGGTAGAACATAAACGTTGCGCTTGTATTCGGCACAAACGTTTGAGGCAAAACAAAAACGTAGAACTGATTAGTGGTGTTCTCTTCGTCATTACTTACAACTTTGATAAGACTTCGCAGAAAATCACCGGAATTATAACTAAGACAAGTTGTCCTCATTATTTTTAACTTACACCACGTGAATGTGGTCTAAGTTTGAGAAAAAATACGGGTCGATGGAGTGAGGTTGAATGAAGACTATGGATCATGAGAAGCTTTTGTTTTGGCAGCTTTTTCTTCATGTGAAAAAATAGTGAATGTGTCGATTTACTGATTTCCACATCCTGGATCTTCAAGCACTATACCAGTGTCCAATTTTTATATTGAAGAAAATTACAAAAATGGTATTGCAGAGCGGAAAAGGTGTTTCCAGGTGGAAAACGTAGTTTTCCATACTGTACTTGTATTTGTTGAATTTAGCCACTCGAAAAATGCTACGACTTATGTTCCAACCCAACATTTGGTTAATGCCTGAAATGTATTTTCTCGTTTCAATGCTGTTAAGGCGACTTTTGCCTTTGTTTTGCACTTGTGGTGTCTGAATTCGTTTGTTTTTCAATTTCCGCTGCCATGATAGTTTATAGATTTCAGCAAAAGCGTGAAGCGGTTGTAACAAATATTCTTGGGAAATGCTTCGTCCTTGATTTTGCAAAGTTTGCAGCTCCGTCGAAAATGACATCTCAGATATTAATGTGTTAGCATTAATGTTGTTAATTGCAAAGTGCTCCAATTTCTAGGGTGAGGGATGTAAGTGCGTACTGTGTTGCAGTCCTGAGTTCTGTTTGAAGTAGTGTACCATTCTAAAAGTGGAGTTCGGCTTAAAATTTTTCTAAGTCGAAATCGATTCTAGAAGGCTCACTTGGAGATATGTACACATAGAACGTCGTGATGATACCACGGCTGTAAAATTCCTTATAGGTGTGCATACACGCGTGAATTTTTTTTTATTTGATGGTTAGCTCCTTCAGTTCCCTCTTATAATTCTCATCACTATTCAATGTACCACTTACATACTTCCGACAACCCTTTATTGCGCGGTCTTGTTTGCCATACCTTCGCAGTTATCATTTGCAGAACCGTTTGCTCAAGAGCATGTACGTTTTAGTTGAAGGAATTTATTGAGTACTTACGCGGGAGTACCCGTCCGGCGGTGGATCACCGAAACTCTACATCTCTACAGGCAACTCTCTATCTATCCACTACTATGGGTGCCATCGACCGGGGTCGCGACACAGTTTTGGGGAGCATACGTCTGCTTCTTCTGCTGAGGGCCCATAGTCTAGATGCAAGGCCAACTTTTTCTATGAGCGAGGTGTCAAATCTGCCGGAAGAGAATTGCCGTGCTCGATTTATATGACATGTATCATGATGCAAAAACCCGAATTTTTGAACCCTGAACTATAAAGCTACTGTTAAAACTACTGAATTTTGATAATTGCTGATAGAAAATATTTGGCGACGCTTTCTGCGGTTTGTTCAAGACTTGCGCGTTCGGCACCAAGCGTGAACGCACTCGCAAAGATTTGAACTCTCGACATGGCCATAACATGAAATGTATGTCTATGCGCATCATAAAACAGTGATTCCAAACTTGCTTCCCAAATTTGCCAAACGATCTCCTGGGCAGGGCTTCAAAAGCTTTGGGTTCATTCACTGACACGTTTGTATTTCAGAGCTGAAGCTTGATGGTAGAATGTGCGAGTCAGAAATTCCGATGCAGTATTTTATGTATTTTTGACGACAACCAAACAGCGGCTGTTTCCTTCTTAATTCATTCTATGCGTTGAAAGATGAGTCGTTTGTCCGTTTTTCCGTCCGTCCGTCCATTCATCAGTCCACTTGTTAGTTGTCGCTTATGGGTGAAAGGGAACATATTCTTTTGTTTTTTTCGTCCTGATGCGACGCAGTTCGGTTTTATTTCTCCAATCGACTGTTCAATTATAGGTTAGTCACGGCTTTATCCATCCGTTTCCTCTATTCCGAAATTGTCTCTATTCGTTTTTTGTTCACCTTGTATATACGTGCCTTTTGAAGCAGTTTATTCGATCCCACCACTATCCCACAATTTCCATGGCTCGCCCATGGCCTTCTTCTATCTTCATCCCTTTCCTTGTCGCTCGTTCAGCGGTCGTAGTCAGAACCGTGATTGATTCATTGGAAGTGTTCACCTCTAGCGACACACGCACCAACTGTGATAATTCATTCGTTGCGAAGTCTCCTGGTTTTTATTCACATTGCTCTCTCCTACTTGCAATTATTTCACACCGTGTACGAATGAATGCGAATAGCTTTCTTGGGTATCGGATTTGATGTTTAGAAAATATAAATATAAATAAATGATTTTTTTGAAGTTCATTCGTCGTAGTCTTTTTAGTTCAGCTACAACAGGATCAACTGTGATGTTGAAAAAAAAAACTAGGGAACTGATTGATTCCGTGGAAGTCTTCTTGAGAGGTTTTGTATCACTGTGTAGCAACAACTCCTTTTCATTTCCAATTCTCCGATCAACATCCCTTTCTTCTTTCTACGACTCCCCCAAGGAGCATCCTTTTTCCGAAGATTACAAATAATCAGAATTTGCCCTACTTTGATTTGTTAGCTCACTGCACCCTGTCTACGTTACAGGTTATGCTGGAGGGTCAATTGGAAAAACGATGGGGAACCAACAGCCACATGACAAGGTTGTATCTCATTCAGACTCAGAACATCTGACGAGGGAAGGCATTCAACTTCCCATGGAACTTTGAATTGAGACCCAGATATATCGATAGAGCTTCAAACGCTGATTACAAATATGGAACTAAAACTGCAAAATGAACCTGCCAAGGAAGTTGTGAGCAGTCAAAGTTGGCTGGAAGTAAAGCGTTACATATGAACCGTGCTAGCCTCCGGGCTTTCAAAGTCGCCGTGGAGTAGTGGTAGTGCTCTCAAAATTTGCACTCCAACAGGAAGAGAACTCATGACCTCCGGCTGGAGAGCGAGAGCACTACCACTACTCCGCGGCGACTCTGAAAGCCCGGAGCTAGCACGGTTCATATGTAACGCTTTACTTCCAGCCAACTTTGACTGCTCACAACTTCCTTGGCAGGTTCATTTTGCAGTTTTAGTTTCCATATTTGTAATCAGCGTTTGAAGCTCTATCGATCAGGTCTTGATTCAAAGTTCCATGGGAAGTTGAACGCCTTTCCCTGATGAGATATAACTCCAGATTTTCAAATCTTTACGACTCTGTCGAGGTGTCTCGGTACTCTTTCCTTGTCACATCAGAGGTGCTCTGACAAATAAAGATTGGTCCGTCTAGATTCTTCATCCATGGCGTCTAGTGAAGAGTGCCAGCCACAGGGTGGGTGAAGTGTGGACCATTTCAAAAGAGCCAGCCATGAGTAGAGGGAACCACCGGTGCACTATGGATTGTGGGCGCGTGCCCTTATCTATCTTCTAGCTGATCCTCTATGTAGTCTGGTGCATGGAAGATCCTAATCAGTGAAGGCTCACTCATCACAAAGAAGGAGGCTCAGGGCTTTGAAGAAATCGGAATCCTAGCTTAGAAAAGGGAGCAAGTGAGGTGGCTGGCTTTTCGAATAGGTGGGCTCGTGTGCTGAGTCACATGACATATTATTATAGAAAGCATCAATACCATCAATACTTAAAAGTTTCTAGAGCCATTCATAAAAAGTGTTCCAGAATTCGTATGCCAACCTGATGCAATACACGCCGTTGGTAAATCACCAACAGACGGCTGACCCCTGGGGTTGCCAGTCTAGAATGTGACCTGCCATTGTGTATTGGGAACAGGGTCAACCCTATGTTGCTACAAGTAGCAACGGGGGGGGGTCGTATTTTGGTGAGTTTGTAGAGGGGGGTCGTACTTGCTTCGGTTGTAAGAG